ATGTAAACCCCAGAGAAGTAGGATTTCCTTAGTCTAAGCGGTAGGTCTTTCAGAAAAAAACACATGGCCTAACCTGGTTCGTTTAGGGAGGGGGTACCTGTTGAATTGCAAATGGCGATTCTCTCCCTTTTGTTCAGATGGTCACAAGGATCACGTGACGGTCGGTGAATGACATCAAGAGATGAGCTGATGAGGGCAGTTGTGATGTAGACCCTAGAGAAGCAGGATTTCCTTAGTTTAAGTAGTAGGTCTTTCATGAAAAAAAAAAACACATGGCCTAACCTGGTTCGTAGAGAAACAACCGTAGCTCCAGTTTTCCCTTTGGGGAAATATTACAAGTAAGGTTCCTCTTATTACAAACCGCTTGTTGTTGCATATGTTGTAATTTCTCTGTGTGGGGCACATGTATATGTTTATATATCCAATTTTATGTACGACATAGCATTACAAACGTCTCCGAGAACCAAAAATGTTTATTATTCTTTTTTACCATTCAGAAATTCCGTCCTGTCCGCGAACAACGGTGTTATTATAGCACGGATATGACAATGTCCATAACGAGAGAGATGTATTTGGGGAAATAAATATTTCTTTCCTTCGCTCTCGTTATACCGGGATACAAACAATGGCATCTGTCGCAAAACCACCTGAAAAAAGTACATCTGTCTGAAATTAAAGATCAGTCGGTTGCATTCATTGGCCTTCTCAATATTTCTGTACGCCTGTAAATCTTGGAAATTAACAATAGAATTACAGCGAAGAATCCAAGCATTAGACATGAGATGTTACCATGCCATCTTTGGCATCTCCTAGATAGACAATATCACAAAGCAGTGCGAGATGCTCTCAGACAAGAAACAGGGTCGTTGGAAGGGTACTTATCCATAGTCAAGAAGAGAAAGTTAGAATTGCGCCAACAATCATTCCACTGCCAACTTGCACGGTTCCACCATAGATTAAAGAAGAAGCGGATAGAGGGTGGGGTGGGGTTATGGGCTGACAGCGTCGCTGAGTGGACTGAAAGATCATTCACAGAGACTCGGACATTGTCATCCAAACGAGATATATGGGGCAAGCTGGTCGGATGAACACACCCAGCCATGGGACGGATGATGATGGCAGTAAGGAAACTTAGACAAACAGTCAGAGTTAGTAATTAGTTCTTTGGAATTATGTCCTGGAATAGAAAGGTTCTTTTTTTTTCTGGGCAATCAATGATTTTGGCGCATGACTAAACTAGAATGCTGTATATTTTCTACTGTCATCAAAGGAAAATAATCGCAACTATCTCATCCACCAGACCAGTCACATTTTTATACTTGATCTAATTTGTTTATCACAATCCCTTCCGCACCATTAAACAAATCTCTCTTCACTTGGACGAATTGAATAAATAGGTAAAGAAAAAACAGGAATGTACTTACATTCCATCTCCCATCACCCCGTCATAACCCTTTGACCTCATAACCCCTTGACCTCATAACCACTTGATAACGCAAAAGTTGGTTGATTTAATTTAGCGACATATCACATCTATAGGTTATTTAATGCCGAATTCTATATATTTTGAATACAATTTTATGGCTTCAACTAAATATTTTTTTAAAGCAATTCACCCCAAGCAAGGCGGGAGTGCCACTAGCACGCAAGGGGTTACAGAGGATTGAGAACAAGAAAAAGAGGCGTGCCCGAAGAAAGGACACAGAAAAGGACGGGGAAAAAGCTCAGGGTGTCAGATGTCGATTGACATTACACTTGAATATTTAAATATTTTAGTCATCGGGGAAGCAAGCAACAGACGAGTAGAGGAGACGATTACATTTAACTGTTTTAACAGTAAAAGTGTGCGACCGCGATGCCAGCCCGGAAGTTCGCTTAAATTCATGCAGTCTGGGATTTATACTTTGAATTCAATAGCATGCCTTTAATTACTGATAAAATGTATTGGTCATTTTTTGCTATAAAATGTGTCGTTGAGAATTTCTACTATAAAATGTACTCCTGGTCATTTTGTTTTAAAAATGTATTGCTGGTATTTTTACTATTTTTTTTTTCTTATTTGTTTGTTTGTTTGTTTGGAAGTTCACTATTTGCTGGCACTCTAACATGTGCTATAATCCCGGGTCAGGGTGGACCTGGGAACAACAAAAATTAAGAGTTGGTTCCATGCTTCTCAAAACCTCCAATATTTCGATCGGAGGTCATGCTGCCGGATGTAGTCTATCGTCATACCCAGAGCTAAAAAAAAAAAAAAAGATAAAGAGCTGAACCTTTTATTTGTTTGCTTTTTAAATTGATTTAGTAACGATTGTCGACTTTATAATTTTTCATCGAAAGAAAGAAAAGAAATATTGAAACACGTATTTACAGATAGCATAGCAATTATCGACGCGGACACTGGAGTTTTCGATTCGAGTACAAATACCGGACTCTTCTGATGTGTTCACATTCAGAAGAATGTCATTGGGAAAGATATAAATATATCTCTTTTCTACACCCGATTATAATTTAAGTACTGTAATAGATTTGACTGTCTGGGTTGGTTTGGTTTAGTTTATTTTGTTTAACGGCATATCAACCTCAATGGGTTATTTAATGCCGACAGCATTTTTAGGTTAGATTCGTATGAATAGAATATGTATTCTTTGGTTTAGATTGGTTTGGTTTATTTTGTTTTACGGCATATCAACCTCAGTGGGTTGTTTAATGCCGACAGCATTTTTAGGATAGATTCGTATGAATAGAATATGTATTCTTTGGTTTAGATTGGTTTGGTTTATTTTGTTTTACGGTATATCAACCTTAATGGCTTATTTAATGCTGACAAAAATTTTATTGCTGGTAATATTTTGTTTTGTCAAAAATCTGTTTCTGGTAATATCTTTCCTTCAAAATTGTATTACTGATAATAATTTGTTTCAAAAAAGTATTGCTGGTAATAGTTAACTATTTGCCCATAGCTGGGACCCTAACAGGTGCTACCACCTCGGGTCAGGGTGGACCTGGGAACGCCAGCAGTTAAGAGGTGGTTCCACGCTCCTCAAAACCTCCTGATCAATGGCCTTCCTGCTGGACGTAGTTTAACGTCTTACCCAGGACGCTTGATTCTCTGTCTTTGATTGGGAGTTGGTCTAGAAGAAGTAAGAATCTAAATTTAAAAACCGTGAAGAAGTCTCATAAAAGACTCCAATATCTTTTCAAAGTCATGCCAATTCGCAGATAAATAAACACAAGGAATTATTCCTGAAGAAACATGGTAATAATACAAATAGTGAATACGAAAGACAATGAATTCTTTGTTAAACTTTTTATAGTTTTCGTAAAATGGGACGAATAGTTGGATCAATGAATTGGACATTGTTAAATTTCATCGGTTCTAGCGCTTTCGACTATTCTTTGGTCTTCTTCAAGAAGAAAATACAAATGTTATTTGTTAGTAATGGATAATAAATTCAAAGTAACATCATATTGGCATTTCTGTTAGACAACATTATGGTTTAGAGATTTTATATCAGAATATGTCATTGGAGAAATCGAGAAAAACTACTAGTTACAGTATCAATATCTTTAGCCTGGTAACAAGAATGTTGAAAAATACTTCTGTTCGATTTAAGAATTTTACATCAGATGTCATTGGTAAAATGGAGGAAAATCATTGGTTATGGTGTTGTTATTTAAGCATGAATTTTGAAATATTTGTTGTTATTATCGCATTGTTTCAAGCCGTTGTGCTCTCCGGTCTTCCTCCACTGCTTGGCAATCCGAGTAGTCTTTAGAGAATTTGGGGCTGAACCCTTTATTTAATTTATAGTACAATAGCCTAGTTACTGATTGGTTGATTTATTTTTTTTACGTTTTATCAACCCATTTGTTGTTTAACAACATCTTTGGAGTGTAAGAATAATTCTTTTATTTGCGAGTGAATATTGCATTAACCATTTCTTGGGAATAACAACGATTTTACCAGATATAATTCATACTATTTAACCCTTAGCTAGGGGGAGAAGATAGATTTAGGCCTTACCCAATGTTTTCTGAATGTAAGTGAATACAACGAACCCAATTGGAATTTGAACTCGTCTCTTCGATTTCTCACTCAGAGACGCTCTCCATTACACCATAATACACATTCCAATGAGAGCGTTGATTCGTGATTTTGGTTACATAGTAATTGTGAGTTCAATCCCTGGACCGGGTAGCGCAGACTTAGACTCAGTGGAAATATAGCAATAACTGAGTATTACTAAATAAAAACATGCGTTTGAAAAAAGACCGGAGAACACAACGACCGAAACATTGTGATAATAACAATGATAAAGATAACTGTTCGAATGTAATCAGAACCTCAGGTCAGAAACTCAGACACAAATTAATTATATATTATAAAAATTTAATAACATCGACTGTTATCGGGACCGGCTCAAGGTACGGGCAACTCTGGTAGTCGACCGGGGCGCCATCAAGACCGAGGGCGCCATCATGGCGGCATGTCTGGGATCATACTTGCGATCGTTCAGGGCTCAAAACAGGTTGAATTCTTTGTTTTATTTTTTTTTCAATGAAAAATGATCTTGCAAAGAAGATAGGTGCAGAAAGCGCCATAAAAAGATTTGCAGGTTAAAGGTTAGAAAAAAAAACATGTTTAGTTGTAGGGTAATGAATGTTTTCTTCAGCCTGTATTAAGTTGTATGTTGCAATAAACTCATCATTCTACATTTTCAGCTTTCCTACTCGTGAAAATTTAAAAAATTATACTTGTAAGGGCGCCGAAGTTCAGCTTGTTCTGGGTGCCAGCAACTCTATGGGTGTCATTGACTGTCATCGTTACTATCTGACGATAAGAACGATTTCTGCATAGCCTTAGACCAACCGTTCACTCACTTATGCGAAATTAAATGAAACTACATAAGAAACTAACAAATATATATCAATAAAAACAATACGAAAATTTTTCTTTGCCAACACATTTCGTCCTCTGTTGGATTTTATCAGATAGATATCTAATGAGCAGACTGAAATAGATAGATAGATAGATAGATAGATAGATAGATAGATAGATAGATAATGAACAAGTTGGGAAAGAAAGAAAGAAAGAAAGAAAGAAAGAAAGAAAGAAAGAAAGAAAGAAATGAATAGACTGAGATAGATAGATAGATAGATAGATAGATAGATAGATAGATAGATAGATAGATAGAAAATGAGCAGACTGAAATAGATAGATAATGAACAAGCTGAGAAAGAAAGAAAGAAATGAATAGACTGAGATAGATAGATAGATAGATAGATAGATAGATAGATAGATAGATAGATAGATAGATAGATAGATAGAAAATGAGCAGACTGAAATAGATAGATAGATAGATAGATAGATAGATAGATAGATAGATAGATAATGAACAAGCTGAGAAAGAAAGAAAGAAATGAATAGACTGAGATAGATAGATAGATAGATAGATAGATAGATAGATAGATAGATATGAGTACTTATTGTTCTGAGCCGATTGATCCATGTAGACAGGTATAGACTGAGAGAGATTTATAGAAACAAACCTAGGTAGATACTGATAAGAAACTCCTACTATGCTCAGTGACAATAGCATACCTTGTCAACACCGTCATTCACGCATCCTGCTTAACCAAAAATAGATTATATTGTCATAGCCGCGAAACAATAGTAATGACCCCCACTGTCACTGAACTGTGCGTGTGTTCTCTCAAACAATATCCCAGTTTTGTAAATCGCTGTATATTTCTAGAACGAGCAACCATCAACCATATATGTAAGTAAAAATTCATTTAAAAAATATTTATAATTTGTTTTGAGAAAAAAGAAAAAAATATTTTAAATATTGCATGTAAAAGTATTCAACATTCTTTTGTTCAGTTGTGACATCGTAAGTATTTTGATTGAAACATTTCTTAAAAGAAAAGAAACATCGCCTTGACAGCCAGAGCTCATTACCAAATTTTACCGTTTTTATTATTATTATTATTATTATTATTATTATTATTATTATTATTTGTGTGTTATGTTTCCTGTTTTGTATCCTGAAGAGCCGGGTCCAAACTGTGGTCCTTAAACCTTATAGGAGAATTATCATTTAATTGATAGCAACTTTCTTAGGATATGGGATGTTGCTATTAGGGCGATCTTCTGGGCAACTTGTATATTGATGTTATCTGGGACACTGTTAGTAAAATTACTTTTCTCACGAGGTCTAGAGCTCCGATTACTATTGATACAATATTTGTCTTCATTCCCCACATCCTGTTAATCTCGATCGACCAGGTCCTTGTATTTAGACAATTTCTTAATAATGGAGATGTTTCTCTCTGTACTGCTATGTCAATAAAAATACACTTCCTGAATTTCTTTATTATTATTATTAGTGTTGTTGTTGTTATTATTATTGTTTGTGTGTTATGTTTTCTCCTTTGTATCCTGTAGAGCCGGGTCCAAATTACGGCCCTTAAACCTTATAGGAGAATTATCATTTAATTGAAAGCACTTTTCTTAGTATATGGAATGTTCCTAGTACGGCGATTTTCTGGGCAACTTGTATGTTGATGTTACCTGGGACACTGTTAGTAAAATTGTCCATTCCTTTTCTCATGACCTCAGAGCTTTGATTAGTATTGGTACAGCCTTAGTTTTCATTTCCCACATCCTGTTAATTTCGATCTCCAGGTCTTTGTATTTGGACAATTTCTCAATAATTTTCATGTTGGTGTTTCTCTCAGTTGCTACTGCTATGTCAATAAGCATACACTTGCTGAGTTTCTTGTCTTTTGTGATAATATCAGGTCTGTTGGCTTTTATTTCCCTGTCAGTTTGAATTGGCATGGCCCAGAGGATAGTTACATCGTTATTTTGGGTAACTGTGTCTGGTTGTTGCTTATACCATCTCTCAGTGGTTTTGATTTTGTGCTTCTTGCATAACTTCCAGTGCACATATGACGCTACTTTGCTATATCTGTGCGTATATGTCACTAGCTTGTTATATCTGTGGGTATTATTATTATTATTATTATTATTATTATTATTATTATTCTAAGCGCTGTAGACCTTCAGATCGTGGGCGATTATGGCCCTCCACAGATTCGTATCCTTTGTAGCACCTAATAACGTTGGTCTTTTTACCATATTTCCCAACGATATTCCGCCATCCTTCCGCACAGGTTCGCCAGGACGGTGTAAAATTATTTTTTTCGAATTATTTATCCAGGTGTATTAAGTATACAATTATGAAAAACAAAAGTGATTATAAAATTTATAGGTTTTCAATTTAAAATATAAACAGTTTCCTCATTAAACCAACAAATATGGAAAGTTATGCTTAATAGAAGTCATTTTAGGTAAAGATTCATCATTTCGAATTCAAGGCCATTTTCAATTTCAAAGCTTCAGAAGGAATTGTCTCGTTAGTCAGGAAATGTTACCATCAATGTATACTTCACATCCGGATAATCGAGATACGAAGCTGGGTTAATCGAGTAGATGTATTTTTAAGGGTAACTTTAATTACTCCTAAACTGAAAACACTACCCCTTTTATGAAATGTTTTATCATTTCGTTTCCAAGGCCATTTTTAATTTCAAACTCAAAGAATGAATTTTTTTGTTAGTCAGGTAATGCTACCATCCATGTCCACTTCACGTCCGGATAATCGATATACGAAGCTGGTTTAATGACGTAGGCGTATTTTTAAGGGTAACTTTAATTACCCCTCAACTGTAAACACTACACCTTTTATGAAATGTTTTATCCTTTTGATTCCAAGGTCATTTCCAATTTCAAAACCACAGAATGAATTGTCTCGTGAATCAGGAAACGTTACCATCCATGTGCACTTCGCGTCCGGATAATCGAGGTACGAAGCTGGGTTAATCGAGTAGATGTATTTTTATGTGTAACTTTAATTACTCCTCAACTGAAAACACTATCCCTTTTATGAAATGTTTTATCATTTTGATTCCAAGGCCATTTTTAATTTTAAACCCCACAGAATTAATTTTTCTATAAAGAACACTACCCCTTTTCCGTAATATATCATTTCGATTTGAAGACTATTTTCTATTTCAAAGCCACTGAATGATCTCATTATCAAGAAAAAAAGTTGACATTGATGTCTCTTTCATGCCCGGGTAATCGAAGTACATATAATCTCGAAAGTGCTGTAGAATTTCCCGTGTGTGTTTTTTTGATGATTGTTGAATGAATGATTCAGATTGAATTACAGTTCCTGGTGCATCAAAACGGCGCCATATTTGAGAAGCATTGTGACCAATCTTGATCTCCAAAAACCGTAATGGAATCATTTCCATTTTCATCTTCAACATGATGGGTAGATAATATTTTAAGTTAAATTCTTAAATGGATTAGAAAGAAGTAATATATTTTTGTGCAAATATTATAATAACATATTAGAATACAAAAGGTTTTCTTATGATGTAGGGATTGCAGTTCTATGAAGTCAATATTGTTTCTACAGTCAAAGTACCGTTGACTCTACCTTACGTAGTAAGCTCATAGACAACGTCTACTCGTGTAAAGATACTAACAAACCACTACTACAGGTTTATTGTTAAATCGAACATTATTTTCCCAATAACATAATACTGTTTACAAAAAGTGCATCATGTATTTAAGAACAAAAATTCTGAAAGGATTGATATAAAATTAACAAAGAGGAGACCTTAATCATTAAGAATGATTAATATATTTTGCGCAACTATTATAATATATGAAAACACAAAATATTGATTCTAAAATCGAACTTTTTTCCCCCAACAATCTAATAGCATTTTTTTTATTTATGTCTTTTACAGTTTATCAACATTTTGTTCGTTATTTAAAACCGAAACTTATTCAGGACTGTAGGAGGTTACTTACAGTATCTGGTGTTTCCAAACGGTCCCCCATTTAAGTTCTGACCGGGCTCGACATTGCTTAACTTCGGTGATCCAACGGTATTTTCAGCGTGATTTGATCGTAAATAGTATCCACTTTTACTCGGATCGTCCTGCAAAAATGAGGGGTCGCAAATCCTCAACCTGGATTCGAGGCAATTTTCAATTTCCAAGCATATGATCACAGTACTGAAAAGTAGAACCACCCTCAATCCGGATAGGTGTCCAATTTTCGTCCGGTTATTCGAAATCCAGAAAATCGAGGTACGAATAATCGAGAAAATACTGTATGTACAAGTTTTAGTAAGTAGTTCACACTCCCCACGGTTTTTTTGAACAGGAGTAGAGGTTTGTCCTTTGTTTCAGTTTACGGTTCCTTCTAAGGTCTACTTCAACTTTATACTTTTAACATCTCCGCCTAAACTCTGAAATTTAGTTTACTGTTTTTCCTTCAATATGAGTAGATACGTTCGACTATCGTCCCGTTCACAAGCCCCCTCCTCCTAAGATTTTGAACAGGAGTAGATGTTTATCCCTTGTCTCCTATTTAGGATTGGGTTTCCGGTTCTTTCTAAGGTCTACTCTATAGTTCTAACATCGCCTAAATTATGAAATTAAATTTACTATTTTTTTTTATATGAATAGATAGGTTCAACTATCGTCCCGTTTACAAGCCTCCCCAGTTTTTGAACAGGAGTAGAGGTTTATCCCTTGTCTCCTGTTTAGGATTGGGTTTCCGATTCCTTCTAAGGTCTACTCAACTCTATACTTCTAAAATCTCCGCTTAAAAAATTCATTTACTATTTTTTCCCTCAATATGATCAGATAGGTTTGATTATCTTCCCGTTCACTAACCTTTCTGGATTTTTGAACAGGAGTAGAGGTTTATCCGTTGTTTCCTGTTTAGGATTGTGTTTCCGGTTTCTTTTAAAGATTTCTCATTCTCTTTTCTTCCCAGTAGCACCGTGCGTCTTAGTGGCATTATTGCCTTGCTTGAGGTGAACTGATTAAATAATCAGCTTAGTAGAAGGAAAAATAAATAAAATTTAACAGAAACACAGAATTTCAAATAACTCGACAAAATATTTAAAATGAACATTTACAGACATCCATACGTTGCTTTAAAAAAAAAAAGGACCTTCTACAATAAAATTAGGTGCTCACTTTTATAGAAGCAGCTAAAAGTGTAGCCTTCCGGGTTTCTATGAAATATAAGTGCAGGGACACGACAAATGAATATCATGTGGTCTAAGATTTACCTTAAGGGTGTATATGAGAGTTTACGTGTGGATGTATTTTTAAGTAAACTTTGAAAGATATTTTCTTCTTGTTGTTGAATAAACTTCGCCTGAAAATACAACCGCGCGATTAAGTCTTTCAACATATACTATTACAGCAACTAAAGAAAACCTAAACACGTGGTTTAGTTTGGTTGGTTTTGTTTTACGGCATACCAAGCTCAACGGGTAATTTAGTTACGACAAGATTTTTATTGCTGGTAATATTTGTTTTTCAAAAATGTATTGGTGGTAAAAGATTTTCCAAAAAAGTATTGCTGGTATTAAAACCTATTTTATACTTTCATATTGCTTTGACCCGT